GATTGTAACATCCACGGGCTGGTGAGGCACACCCGACAAAAATCAGCTGTCTGTCCTATCTATTCTGTCTATCCTATGAATCCCATCAGCCAGCCAGCCAGCCATCCATCCAACCATCCCTCCAATCATCCATCCATCCATCCAACCAAGGGTGAATCCATACCTGATTCAAAACACCCCCCCATAATCACCCAAGAAAAGGGGCCTTGGAAGGGAAGTTCAGCCGGACATGGAGCTGTCCCAGCAAACGCGTCAGGCGCGGCATGTGGAAACGCTCCAACCCCTAATGCTATAGCAAAAACACAACCGTTGCTCTCTCTTTTTTTTGCAGCCCACAAAAAATGAACAGAACCCAAAGACATCGGGGATACCAGATATCAAAGGGAGATGCATTTGTCTGTTCAGTTCTGACCCAGCTTTTTTCGCACAGACCACACCACGTTGCGTTCTCCTCGTTTGTTGAAGATTTCTGGAAAGCTTCGGATTGCTGGGTTCAGAATGGTTGGAAGTTATTCCTGGAAGCAGAGAAACAGGCAACAGGGCTGTCCCTCTAAGACCAACTTGAAAATGCTTGGAAAAGCGCTCTAGACGTGGTGGATTGCAATCTAGAGCTGCTTCACCCGCCCACGCCTGGTTCTCCTTGAGGAAATCTACCAGGCCTTTGCTCAGCACGTTCGCTGGGGCATCATGCGGCGCCTCGTTCTGACACCACCTGGTCGCGGCGACTCAGCGTTCGAAGAATACGACATGCTTGAAAACCAACCTGAGGAACTATGTAAGGTGTCCTTGGAAGGAAACCATCCAAGAAACACACACTTATTGCAGACAATCGTTGCTGGTTTTACTTCTCTCGGCTCCTCATAGAAATCCCCGCGCAAGTCCAGCGAAACATTACACACTGAAATTCTTGGAACCAATGGCGCGACTGGTACCTTTCAATACTCCCCTTGGCCGCTAGCTGAACAAAACAACAGAATGAGGGGCTCGTTCTTACATCTTCTCCGTGGGCCAACAGTTCTCTCGCCAGACATGTTGCCAGCCTGTCAAGTGCTTGGCAAAAGTCGGCATTGAAACAACCTACGGATTCCCTCAAAGGGATCCCTAGGTTGGATGGTTTGCTTTTAGAGTCATTGATTTGTTCTCGCCGAAGTTTTCAAGTTAAGAGGTCCAGTCCGTCAAGTGGTTGGCAGTCGGGGGAAACATGTCCATTCCGGGTTCTGGGAATGAACCGGATTCCCTATATAGGAAGCCATAGGTTGGATCGTAGGGGTCATTCCGACATTCCCTTAAAGGGATCCCTAGGTTGGATGGATTTTTGTTGGGGTCATTTTTTTGTCTCATTCCCTGAGAACCAACAAATTTCCAGCTGACTTCGAGAATTCCAAACAGTCCTCAGATCCTGGTTGATTCCTTCACGGAACGAGGCCCGGTGACAAAAATTGGCTTTCTGGCGCTAAGACCTTGCTTTTCGCCAGCCCAGTTTGCGGCGGCCGGAAGGCTCAAAGTTTTGTTCGGGATCTGGACAAAAAAGCTGGCCCACTCAAAAAAAGATCCAAAGATCGGCTCCAGGACCCCCCAATGGCTGGCAAATGGTCTGTGGAATGACCTCCCAATGGCTGTTTTGGGGTTATTTGCCAGCCATTGGGGGCCTGGTTCGCCGCCCCAGTTTCTTCTGGAAGGCCTGACTGGTTGGCGCTTCCTTTGAAACCGGGTCCAAAGACACACGCAGTTGGACGTGGAAGCCAAATGAATCGGAGAGGGAGAAACCAGAAAGACATGGCCCGCTGGATCCCGCTGGCTTGGAGTCGAGATCTGGTCATCTTGGCCAATTCTTTGGGACCTTTGTTTCTACTCTTCCTCCCAAAAACCTAAGGCACCTGTAGAAAAGGTATCTGGATCAGACGCCTCTTGAAGGGGCGCATCTTGGGCCAGGTAGTTTTAACGGATGACCGGACACAAACCGGACATATACTTTAGAGTTGTCATGAGACCTTTGACTCCTCTTTTGTTAGACCCTCTTTGCCGACGAAAATCGAGAGGTCGGCCGAGCGGAGACAAGCTGACTTGAGTTGAAACAAGTTCATAGATCACTGAATGGAAACCCCGGATGAAAAATACTTCCCTGCAGTTGAAATTTTGATTGGGGGGTGTCCAGTCTTTTAGTGGGGATTCATCACTTTCCAGGAAACCAACCATTGTGGATCTCCTAGTTGACGAAACAACTGGGTGTGTTTCCCCCCCCCCAAACGGGCTTCGGTTTTGTTTTTGGAACGGGTGCCCACAAAAATGCACGCCCACATCAAGAAAAATAGCCCTCAGGCATTGAGAGACTCCATGTGACGCCCCAAAGTCATGTTCAGATTCATGGAGCTTGAAAAGCACCCATACGTGGCTAAGCTCGCATCTGGACCTCTGAAAGTGACGGCTTCATGAAGGACACACGAAGCAAACATGGCGACTTCAGGCTACTTCAGGGCAATGAAAATCCAGTCGTTGATTCACAAGCAAGTCCGGGTGCTTTCGATTTGCCAGATCGACTGGGGTTGACCACTGCAAGATCGTCCAGCCGCCCCATAACCGATGTCACTTGGTGCTACATTCCCCAATCCAAAAGTATTATCTTTGGGATAGAAACCTCGTGGGTTTGTATATGAGTATGTGTGGAGAAAACAAAACAAAAAAACAGGAAAAAAGAAAACAGGGACCCAAAACTGCTGGTTTTCCTTTCGGCTTCCCTCTAAACCAACAAAGGGGTACCATCAAACACACGTTGCACAAGAACCTCATTGCTTCAGTCCAGCCCTGCCAGCTGCTCGGGTCCACAGTCTGTGAGCCCGGAAATGCAAAAAATGGGAAACTGATGCCAGAGCCCAGTAACTGCCCCTGGAACAAAAGGCTGGCTTTTGAGGACAATCTACCAGTACGTGATCGAGTTGGAGAACCTCCAATGCTCAAAGTCATGGACCATGAAATGGTAAATCACTGTGCAAGGAGTGCGTAGGGTCCCGGATTTCCGCGAGAAAGAGTACTCAGGGCATGTCAAACGTTCACTCTAAGAGTCTTGCCAAATGAATTGCGTGCTAACAATGCTCCCGTTTCGGTTGGTCGGAGATCACCCCTTGTGGGGTTTCCAAATGGTTGACCAACTCCTTGGTGTCTCTTTAAACCAACCAAACAAGGATTTGTTTTTCCGGTTTTTCAATTTTTGCCTGTTTTCTCCGGAGGGACCCTAGCTACCCATAGTACAGGGCCACACGAAGCATCTGGTGAACAAGGGATGCCAGGCGATAAAGCTGAAGCTGCCGCTCATCCGATCCAAGCTAAGCCCTAGCCGAAACCAGGTGCGGGGTTTGGAGATGTCGGGGGCGGTCCTCCAGATTTGAGAGGTTAGAATTTCTGTAGTCTATTTTAGTAGGGGAACCCTCCCCCAAAACAGGGTGAGAAAGGGCACTACTGGGGGACCTAGTTAAAATATGTGCGGGCCTGCTCACTTCGGGATCGTCCCGGTGGGCAGCATCGCAAAGCATGAGCTTGAGGATTGTATGCCTGAGCATGCCACAAACTCATCCAAGCGGCCACCACATGGAAGCGAGACCCTCGCACCGACTCATTTTGAACCGCGGTGAAGCTTCAGTCACGCCGGTTCCATCTGGTCTTGCTCCAAGGACTAACACCCAGCGGATTTGGCAGATCGGAACTTTTGGATTTAAGCCAGAACACAGAAATAGGAACGCCCCGATGGTTTCCGTGACGGACAAGGGAACTGTTAGGACCACGGAAAAGACACAAACTCTTGGGACCAAAAACTCGAACTTTGAAGATGCCACCAGCCATTAAGATCACATACCCTCTGACAAACATTGCTCTACGGGGTCCCTGTCCAATAGAACCTCCCTCTCTGCAATTGTTCCACGTCTCATAGAATTTTGCCGGAACATCCTCTACCAGGTACCCTCCTTCAATGGGGATTTACTTCCGCCGCTCAAAGGCCATGGGTCAAAATCCCGTACCCCCAGTGAACATCCCAATCCAACCACTAAAATAGGTGCCCTAAAATGGGTGGTGAATTCACCTACCAACCAAAATGGGATCCCAAAACGGTTTTGACCCACAGCCATATGTGTATTGCACATGCTTAGTTTAGCCGTCAGGAAGCCATTTCCTTAAACGCCATTGGTTTTGACCCACAGCCAAAAAAGAGCATGCGGCCCAGGGCGCGCTTCCTTCGCCTGGTACATGAGCTTGTCCAGGTCCCTTTGGGGCTGCCTCAAGTGGCGTTGCTTCTTCGACAGCTTCTCCTGGTCCTCAACTCGAATCGATCCCAGGTGTTGCATGGGAGTGTGTGGGTGTGGGTGTCGGTGTGGGTGTGGGTGTGGGTGTGCATGTGCATGTGGGTGTGCAGTTGAGTGACAATCAAAACCCGGTATTAAAATGGTTGTAATCCCAGAAACATGCTTCAAGAATTAAGAAGGCGGATATCCGCAGCTATTTCTGGCAACGGGATCGTCCCTTACTAACCTTCATCTACCCAGTTTTGATTGTGACTGTGTGTGTGTGTGGTGTGTGTGTGTGTGTGTGTGTGTGTGTGTGTGTGTGTGTGTGTGTGTGTGTGTGTGTGTGTGTGTGTGTGTGTGTGTGTGTGTGTGTGTGTGTGTGTGTGTGTGTGTGTGTGTGTGTGTGTGTGTGTGTGTGTGTGTGTGTGTGTGTGTGTGTGTGTGTGTGTGTGTGTGTGTGTGTGTGTGTGTGTGTGTGTGTGTGTGTGTGTGTGTGTGTGTGTGTGTGTGTGTGTGTGTGTGTGTGTGTGTGTGTGTGTGTGTGTGTGTGTGTGTGTGTGTGTGTGTGTGTGTGTGTGTGTGTGCGTGTTCGCATGTGCCCTATAGGTGAGGGGGCGGAATTGAAATCAACGCAAAGTCGCCGGACCCCACACGCTTCGCCCTGTTTTGGTCGTCTTGGGTGTCTTTTTGGATACCCCCTTCTTCTCAAGACAGGGGTGGGGGAGTCCGCCGAAGGTCGACACCCGAGAATTTCTTTCCGGTGAGCTTTCGAAAGCCCCGCCTGAAGGTCCTTGAGCTGTTGATCCACATAGATCTTGTCGGGCATCCGCATCAGCTCCATGAGGGCGTCCTTCCTCTCTTGCACCTAAAGAGGCAGAAACGTGTTCGCATAGGTGGCCTTTTGGGAAAAAAAGACATGGCGCCGGTAAATGAAGGAAACCCCATCTAAACCAGTGCCATCGACTTTTAATCAATAACCTAAAAGGGACACCTATGCGTGTTCGGCCGAACATGAACAGCCAGACCACTGGACGGCTGTCTGAAATTCCTTGTTCCGGAAACAACCATCTTCGCGAGGAAAAAAACACATGACTTCATAGCTCACTCAATACAAGCACCTTTCGGACGACTCTCACTTGCAGTCTGCCAACCACGAAGCTCAACTTCTGCATTCCAAAGCTACCAAGCCGTACCCGAACAGCCCGGTTTGACATGCGACAACTCGCCATCCGGCTGAATCCGTAGAATTGTCACCCAAGAAATAGGAAGTCCAAATGAAGACGAACTCGTCTCTTCAGGGGTGAGGCACAGCTACTCCCTGCAATTAGATCAAGGAACTTGTCGTGAAAGGTTTTAACCACGAGAAGGACTCAGCCCTTCCCCCTGTGAGCCTTGTTGGTTGGTTTGTCCCCAATTTTTGGAACTCACCGAAGTGGACCTGATTGTCTTCGATCCCCTAACTTTCGTCCTTGATCAATGAACACATCCTGGGCAAATGCTTTCGCTGTAGTACCGATTCAATCACGGCCTCGACGAGCATGCGATTCTCGTTGTCTTTCCAGTAGCTCCTTGCGTGCCAAAACCAATTCGGGTGTTTCTGAAGACGGACCAACTTGTTGGTAGGTAAACCAAGCAGACATCAACCATTTTGTGTGTGTGTCTTTTTTAGGGGACGCAATAAAATAGTGGTTTTCCTCATGGTCAAACATGGAGGTAGCTTCAAAAAAGACACACCCATTTTGCTTTCCCCCATTTTGAGATACACCCAACTCAAATTAGGCAATTGGATAAGTTCCATGCGACCTACTCCCTGGGAACACTTCCCCGAGTCTCCAACCAAAGACAAACAGTGCTTGGAATTTGTTCTTGTGGCTTGCGCAACACAGCATGGCTGCTGCCAGAGAGGTTTTGGCCATGGGACTCCGTTCCCAAAACTTGGTTGCTTTCTGCTCCCCTGCTAAAAGTTTAAATTTTAGTGGTTTAATGGAGAACCTATTAGTTGGCAAACAGTTAAAGTCCTAACATCCAAGCAAAATGCGCCAAAGAAAACAAGACTTCCCCTTGGAAATGGGCTGGAGCTAAGCTCCAAGGCTCGTTGTTTGGTGGTTTGGAGCGAGCCGAATCGGTGGTTTGGTGGTGGGCGGTCGCCCATTTTCCCTCTAGGGTTCAAATCCAAGTCCAAACCACCAATCCAAAGCACCAACTAGGGGTTACCTGACAAACTGCCCGCAATCAAAAAAAACTAAAAGAACGAAACACTTGCAGCCTACAGCTTGCTTTCCGAGCTTCTGGTAGACTTTGGCCAGCTTGGCCAAGGAAAACTCCTGCCAGTGACTTGCCGGTGGTGTTGGACCCGAACTCGGGCTGAACTTAGGAAACGTTTTCCCTGAACAATATAGAAACAGGCCGGGATAGATTCCACAGAGGCAACGACCCTTTTCGGGCTTAACTTAGCAGATCCACTGCAACTAGGGCTGGCTTTTTGTTTTGTTTCTTTAATCTGATCAAGATGGCCTGAAGAATGCTAAGGACAGATCGAGCGAGCAGAGAAGCGTCTGGAAGTTTGAAACGCAACTGGGTCTCTGAGGGAATGAGCCCGAACTCATCCATCCAACTGGAGTTTCCCTTGAGGGAGTTCGAGAGGCGGTCTAGGTCCTCCAAAGAAAAATAGAATAAGGGTACCCTTTTTCTGTAGTCTATTTTAGTAGGAGACCTAGTGGTATCCTCCATATTCCTCCATCACCAACCTCAATTGCACCTGGGGTTGCGTATGGGTTGCCTATTGGCCCTGATTGAGTAGCAGTTGGGAGTTGCTCGGGGCTCGTTTAACTTGGGGAGTTCGCCTGGCTTAGATCTTCATGAGGGCGGGTCTTGGGTTGGTTTTCGGGGGGTCATTCAGGCGAAGCAACGGACAGGAACTCCTCATCCTTCTTTGAAACGCCCCCCCAAAAAAAGTATTTGCCGAAGGAACCCCACAAAGTTGACTCCCATCTGGGCAAGAAACCCCCGAAACTTGGGGACCAAAGACCTCAAAGATCGGCCAGCTCCCTATATTTTCCGCTTAAAACATCACCCAGGGGACACACACCTTTCATGGGCCAAGAAGGCGATGCTTAAGGCCACTAAAAAGTAAGAATATATATAGGGACGCCTGGCATTTTTCCGGGCGGGTGTTTTGTCCCGACAAACGCAGGTGCTTGTCGCCTTTGCCACCAAATGTCCCATGGAAAAATCTTCGGCGGCCTTGGATGCGTTCGGTCCCATAAAGCTCTGACAGAGCAGTTCTAGCCCCGGCTGGATTGAACCTGAGGGAAGGGTCCCCTCGCAACACTTCGCATCGCCTTGCTTCCCATGGCACTTTCCTCATGGTGGCCATGAAAGAAAAGGCTCCCTGTTCTTCGCACAGGATTTTGCCGGGCAACCGAACTTAAAGCTGGGTTGATATTGATCGGGGGGTGGAACGCCCTAAGATTCATAGATTTGATCCAGAAACGAACTCAGAAATCAGCCAGTCGTTTCGGGTCCCTCCCCATCTCCCATCATTTCCCAAACCCCCGTGGTCAAGCGCTCCCCCTTCTGCTCGTCGTAGTGGTTGAGGTTGCGCTTGAAGAAGACCCCGGCCAAATCGTTCAGCGACTTCAGGCGGGCAGTCATGCTCTCCTCGAGAGGTATGCCGTATCTCTCCAAAACATCGATGTCTGGCATTGGAAAGTGAACCACCCAACATCGCAAAGATGGCAGAGGCATTGCCTCAAACTTTCAGGACGCGAAAAGGACGTGCAAAACATGGGTTGTTGTCCCCCTGGCTTCTGCGGACATGTTGGCCTCGCCTCCTCATGGCATGTCCTTCCCAAACAGCATTATAAAGGCGCACACAAATTTGTTTAGGGCTATGGGGTGCTGGCTTTCACCACAGTTCGCCATGTGTTTTTTGTTTCTTCGGAATCCCCCCCCATCAAAAAAGGAAGACGCGCGTTTTCCTTGCGGTTGTTCCGTTAAAACCCACGAAAAAGGGGGGGGAGTCCATGGCAACTCCCAAAAAGACGAGCCCCCCCCCCTCAGGTGTCCTCCACCACTTCTGACCTCAAGCGCTACATGATCTGGCGGCTCTTTGACTGGCCAGAATTTAGATGCAGGATGAACTCTCAACATAGAGCTGGCCAAAAAATACTTGACCATCTAGGTCTTCCAGTAGAGCGATTAGAATGAGGGTACACATGGAACCTTTCGACGTTTGCGTCCTGGTTTGGACCATTTTCCTACCAGGACCATTTTCCTACCAGGACCATGTCCCGAACGTGGTAAAATCCACAGGAAGCCGCTCTAAGCGGTCTGAAGATGAGGCTTTCTGAGGGTGCTCAACAAAGGGAGGGAAACATACACAACATCTTCGTTGACCTCTTTGGCTTACAGTGTCAGTTTTGCAAGCTTGTTTCAATGAAACGGGCTGACGTCTTACTTGCGAGTTGTTGGGCCTCAAAAGTGCCTTTTGCAAGGCAGCTATGGCGGTGACATGAGGTGGCTGTGTTGCGATGGATTTAGGATTCTGCTGCATGTTTGTCACGATAGTGTTGCAAGTTTACCATACATTAAATTGTTACGCTATGAAACATCAACACAAGAAGCATGTCATGACTATAACGTTGGACCGTAAAGTGCGTGCTGAGAAGAAAAAAAATCCGGTTTCCCAACAAACGCTCCCGTAGTTTCCGATGTCTTCAATTTAGCATTGCGAATGCTTGCCAACCATCGTATGGACTGAAGCTGGCTTGGCGCTCACCCCCGTATGGATTCTTAAAGTTCTTACTGTCCCTTGCAAATTAACACGCAACCACCAAAGGCGACCCAATATTTCTCTAAAAGCATCCCGGGTGCTATTTCGTCGGTCTCTGTTTCAGGCATCTCCGTGGTTCGAATCACGATCGAAGCGGTTTTAAGCCTCAAGAAGCGCTTGCAGGCGCTGCCCTGATACACTGGGTGGACAAGCAATCCTGCACCACCCAAGGAACCCTGGAATGACGAATTCCCTGTAAATACCAACAAACACTGGTTTTCCATGGTTTCAAAGCGGGGCAGGATTTTGTCCATCCACAGTAGGTTGTTCTAGCACATCAACTAAATGACTTCGCTGGCAGGCGCAAGGGTTCCCCTGCTCGGCGCGGCCCGTTTTCTGAGTAACCCCAACCTCCATGATGGTTGTTCACCTGTGAGCATGGAAAGCGTGAAGTTGACATGCTTTTTCGGAGTTTGCATGGACTCATGAGAACAGGGGCACGCATCATGTTGTTCGCGGAGCCGCTACAACAGAAGCTGATCATGCTGCGCTTGGAACCAGTGGAGGGAGTGTGGTGATAACTTGGCAGTCTTGGAGACAGTGCTGAGCGGGTGCACTTGACCGGGCGTGCTTATCGTTTGGCAGGCGTAGATGCGGGGCTGAGCGGGCGGCGCACCCGACAAGGTGCGATACAGGGAGCGGGTGCGCTTAGCATGTTGCGCATGGAATGACTGCGCACTCATGATGCTGAACATGAGAGTTGCTCAAAATCCCCAAGTTTTACAATGATGGTTTTCGTCCCGACTGCATTAAGTCGTGTTTGCCTATTTTGATCTGCAGGGCGATCCCTGCAAAGTGCCATGGGGATGCGAAGGGATGATTGCCTCGTGAGACGATAGTATGTCTCACTATGTCTCACTATGTCTCATTGCACGTGATCACCAAAATACTGCAAGGGACAATGAGGCACCCTCTAGATTTACCATGATTTGGGGTTTGGTTACGTACTTGCACGTGTGGTTGTGTGAGCATAGGGGGACCCCCGAAATGGCGGCTTTCCTTTTCCCTCTAAACCAACCTTGAAAGAAAGCCCGCAAAACACAACACACACACACACACCTGTGGTTTGGTTCCTTGCAAATGCGGAAAACCGCCCGTTCCCGAGCTATCATCCCACACGCGCCTTACATAGGAGGGCTTGGGCACAAAAGAAGACCAATGAATAAAAATGCCAGTCCCCCAGATTTGGAGCGCGGGTTTTTGATGGTTTCCTGAAAAGAAGGATCCCTGGAAAGAATGGAATTGGAAGGTGCCCCTAGAATTGAACCGATTGCTTCCCCGCGTGCTTTCGTGCCCAAAGTCGAAACGCTTTTTGTGGATCTGCCAGGCTATCAAGTTTAGCCTGAGAAAACGGGGGACCGGACCCTCCCAACTCACCCTACCAGAAAGCTACAGTCGAGCACCTGTTCTTGGTTGGAAGGGGAGCAAAAGTCTAGATTTTAGCAGTTAAGTAGGGATTTCCCACTACACCACAATAAGCGAAAATGTAAAATGTTGCCCAACAACAACCCCAAAACCCCAAAACCCCAAAACCCCAAAACCTGTTGTGGCCACGAAAAAAAACGGCCAGGGAAACCAAAAGGTCCAAAGGTCGCTTCTTGGGGCGAGCCCACGAACAGAGTTTTTTTCATCGATTCCGATTCGCTCATTTAGGAAGAAACCCGGCGACAAAGTGGGGCCAGCTGTGGGTGTTCGTTTGCAGGACTGGGGAGGCCAGAAGTTAGCTGCAGGATGAACTCAAAACATAGAGCCGGCCAAGAAATACCCATACCATCTAGGTCCTCCAGTAGAGAGGTTCGAATAAGTTGGTACCAACTTTTTTCAGGACGTTGATTTTAGTAGGGGAACCCTCCCAACCAAAAAAGGGGTGATAAAGGGCACTACTAGAAGAGACTCCTCGGCTTATCTTGTGGCAACAAATGCCTGATGTGTTTTTCTCCTGATGGACGGAGATGCTTTGACCCATTGTGAGCAACCCTGAAGCAGAACCAAGCGTTTTTGGGCTACCCAGCCCCCCTGCCTTAAGGTGGAACGGGGTGCAAAATGGGTTACCACAAATAGAGATCTCCAAAATCACCGACCTCCCCCCTCCCCCAATATCCATTCGGGCGGACATGGCTACCCTACTTTACACCTCTCCATTTTTTGGCCACTGAGCCCGAGCCTATGCCACCTGGCCCACCCCGGCCGGCTTCGCCCGTGGATCCCGTGGAGGCCATGGCACATGGTGGCCTCCTCCTCGGCCTTCCGCAGGCCCTCCTTCGTGGCGTCGCTCTGCTGCTCGCTGGTCTCCCACTTCAGCCGCAGACTCCTGCGACCAAGACATTCCTTTTTCGCCGATGCGGGTCACACAGATCCCAAAGAAAAAGAACAACAAAAAAGGAGAAAGAAAAAAAACAAACAAACAAAAAAGCGAACCTCCGGTCTCCTTTTTGGGAACATAGATGGCCCTGGTCTCTGGAATAAAACCAACCAGTGCCATCTATGTCTTGCCAAAATCACCTAAAAAGAACGCCTATGCTCCGAACAAACAAAATCTCCCCCCCCCCCCAGAGCTCCGGTCACACAGATCCGGAGCTGCCGCTAAAACGCGAAACCCCGTTTTCAGCGAAACGATTCATCCCCCCCGTCTCTTTGCAGCGGTTTTGAGGGCGCCCGTTGTGGGGAGGTCTTTTGGAGGCAGGCGCCAGCTTTTCTTTGCTTGTGTCCTCAAACCAAACATGTAAGAATCCGCCTCGGAAAAAACAAGAACGGACAAACAAGCCAAGAATAATGTGTATATATAGAGGTATGTATGTATCATGTGTATATGTCTGTAGATATGTATATATGTATATATGTATAATATGGACCCATGTTTTCTGCGACGCGGCTCACATTTCAAGGGCCACTTCGCCACTTCGCTGGGCATGCCGGAGCTCAATGGCTTGGCATGGCCAAGCGGTCAAGCGGCCAAGCGGCCAAGTTGGCTCTGTCAATTGAGGCTACCCCTTTTCCTGAGTTCTTTAGAAAAAAACCAGCAGGAAAACCGAAACCCATTTTGGGGGTCCCCAACAAAAAAAACACCCAAAGGTTCTTGACTCAGCAAAACACAAGGCAGTAAGTAAGAAACCTATAGGCAAGAGTTGTTCTGACCTACGGACGACTTGCTTGCAACAACAGAAAGGGCATGGGTCAGTAAGCCAGGTATTACTTACTTGCCAACTTCTTTGCTTGCGTGCTTCCTAGCGCACTTGCTTACACAGCATGTTGCTTTCGAACACAGGGGGGTGCTTACTTGCAGACGGGGAGGGGGGTTCTTAGTTACTTGCGGACAGAAAGGCTAGGTCTTACTTATAAAACAGCCACACATGTTGGTTACTTGAGGCCGCGGGAGTATGCTACTAGACTTCCTTGCTAGGATCTTTGGCCACTTAGCCACGCCACTGAACCGGCCGCTTGACCACGCAGGCACTCAACCGGGCCTTTTTGATGCATCGACTCGGGCGAGTCTTCTTCTTGCGACGCGACCGCCGATCTCAGAACATGCTGCGATCAAGAGAACCCAATTCGGGACATTGGTCAAAGCCCCCCGAACCATGGGCCAATGTGTTTTCTCAAGGTCTTGATTTCCGCGCATCCCTTACCACTCTGGGTGAGGGTAAGCAGGCAAAAAAACCGCCACGGCCACATGTTGGACCTCGAAAAACTGGTAGGACAAACCACCACATCCAGTCGCTGGATTTGCTGGGTGAGTGTAGTGGGTGTTCAACAAGGGGTGTGGGGGTCTAAAGGCAAACATCATCCCCTGTTGGTTTGCCTTTGGGCACATCAACGCCTTTTGGTTTTTTGCTTGGACGCTTTTTCGATCACACGGTTTGATCGCACCGGGTCCCTGCCCCAGTCACTTGAAAGGAAGGAAAAAGGGGGTGAACTCCTGTACCGGCCCATTTTCTTGCTGGTGCTCACCAGGGAACGAGGGAATTTACCCTAAACCATCCCTATCCATCCCTTGTGGTTTCCTGTAAGCGGATGGGTTCCTTCCCTTCCCTCAGATACGAGCCATCAACCTGGGCTCCGATCAAACCCGCCAAGACTTTTTTTTCCTTGTGGGTTAAGCTGGGACCCAGGATCTGAGTAGAACCCGCCCCACCTTTTTTGGGGGGTGAAAACCCCTCCAAAAGTGGTCTGAATCCAACCACTAAAAGGAATTGGACCCCCCTCTTCGGTCAAAATCAACCCGGGGTTTATTCATCCGGGGTTGGCATTAAATGGAAACCACCACTCAACCCTAAAAAGATCTAAAAGGCTAAGAGGCTAAGGAACCGCATGGCCTTCGGGAGCCACCAAGAAACACACAGATAAATTTGGGCGCTGAGGGCAGCCCCTTCAAACCCCACGCGCGACGCGCGCCGAAGGCGAAGGCCTCGCGCCTCTCTTTCTGATCCAGGTCCTCGGCAATGGCCTCCTGGCAGCCGGGAGGCGGTGTTTGTATGTTTTGTTGTTTCTCTTCCGTTTGCTTAAGTCCCCTGGAAGAATAAAATTATATATTTTCAGTAGTGATAGAGTCCCTTTCAAACCAACAGGGGGAAATGAAAATAAATATTCTTCAGCAAATGGAAGTTGTACGTAACCACGCTCATACGGACGTGACAACACACGAACTTTCAAAACAAAAAACAAGGACGAGATGTTGAGTCTTACCCCGCAAGTTTTTGTTTTTGTTTTTTGCCGTGAGAGGCTGACGTCCTGCAAGACGTAGTGTTTAGAGAATCTTCCACGCTTGCCATGTTGTTGAAACCCTGCCCCTTATCCCCAAAGTCATTTGAGTCGCAATCCCGTTGTTAAAATGGTCGACCCAAAGCCATGTAAAGAATCAAGAAGGCGGCCGCAGCTACTTCCGGCTGGGATCGTCCCTTGCTAACCTTCATCTACCCGGGTTTTGATTGCGGCCACGAAAAATGGAAGGGGAAACTAAAACAAGGTCCTCCAGTAGAGAGGTTAGAAGAAGTTGGTACCCACCTTTTTCAGGATGTCTATTTTAGTAGCGGAACCCTCCCAACCAAAAAAGGGGTGAGACAGGGCACTACTGGGGGACCTAGCCCAAAGTCGTTTTGCCGTCACACATGCCCCCAGCTGCCCCCCGTCTCTCCTGGGTGCGAGTCACCTGCAAGTTCATCTCCTCGTTGGCCGCAAAGAAGCGGTACGCAAAGTCCAGCCTCGGGAGATGTCAGCACCAAGCGGGTCTTGTGAGTGGGCAACAACCAAGTGAGAACTGTGAGGAGTGGGTCTTGTGAGTGGGTAGAACCAAGGAAGTGGGGAGCGACTTGGAGCGGACGGAGAGAGGCTTCGCTGATGAGATCCGGGGCGGGTCGACAAATCAGCCAGGCCAGGGTTGATCGCGTTTCATGGAACCCATGATCGATCCATTCAAACTCAAGCCCGGCGCCGGAGGCCCTCAGAAGGCGTTGGGTAGGTCTTCCAAGGACCCGCAAAGCCAGGTCCCTTCGATCCGATTTGGATCTTGGCTCCAAACGGAAACTCGGCCAAAGGCCGCCCCTGCTTTGCCAGTCTGTCCTGGAAGATCAAGGCCTCTTCCCGGGGTGCCATGGATCTAGCCCAGTGGATTTCCATGGGAAGACAAAGGCATGGGAAGAACAAGGGCAGCCTTTTTAGGGTTAGTTGAGTTTAAAGGGGAACCCTACCCCCCCAAAAAAGAAGAAGAAAAAGAACAAGAAACAAAACGCCAAAAAGGGAAAAAACACGGCGTCACTGGGCAACAGAGTCCAGAGAGTCGCTGGGTTTTCGGAAACCCGCTTCCCTTTCTCTCCGCCAAGGGCATCCTCACAAGACCTGAGCAAATCCTCTGGGGAAACATTCTAGGGGCAACTTCCATGTCCATTCTGAACCCAGGGATCCTTCTTTCTAGAAAACCAAAAAGCCTGGAGAAATGCTGCGTTTTTGTTTTTTTTAATTAAGGAACGATGGCTGAAAGGAATGGGGAATCAACCCCTAGAAGAATGGGCGGTTCGGCCAAGGCTCCCAGAGTGAGTGCCTCAAAGTCCAAAAACGGAAAACAACGCAAGAAAGTGAAGCCTCATGTCCCTCGGCTCACCCAATTCCCGTGCGGGTTCAAAGCCAAGGGAAACCACCCGTGGCCTCCCCCCTTGTTCCAATGAGGCGAGCGAGGCGAGGCCCTCTGCGTCGGGAGGCAATGGGTCCATGCCCCTGCAATTCACAAAGTAGTCGTGCTGATCCCCTGTGTCCTGCCAACGCAATCCCCAACACAATGTCACAACCACACCCTTCTCTTCGGGAAGAACGAAGCCTCAACTACTTCCATTTGCTTTAAGCCCCCTGGCAAAAAAAAATAAAAATCTGTATCCAGTGGTGATAGATTCCTTTTAAAACCGACAGGGGAAAACAACAAAATCTTCAGTTCAGCTAATAGTTGATTAGGGAAAGCCCAAGGCTTGAACAACTCCCAGATGTTCGCAATGAACCGCCTTTTGGCTCCACCCTTTGGATGCGAATCCACGGAAAGAGCCATGTTTTCTCTACGGAAGTTGGCCGTAGCGAAGGAAAAGGCCTTTGTAGCACCTGAAGCCCTTTCACAGATCAACGCCCCTCTCACCTTTAAACTTTAAACCCCTTTTGAGCCAAGGACGCAAACTGCAACTTCAGGAGTCTGGGCTGGCCTGTTGTGATTCGAGGATGTGCTCCAAGAACAGGACCCGTGGTAATTACCAGCGGGCCTCAGAGCCTGAGATGTTGAAGCTGCCAATGTCTTGCCTTTCCGAAAGCACTCAGCGGAGAGTTTTGCTCCGGTGAAATCCAAAACAAACTCGCAGAGAGAGAGAGAGAGAGAGAGTTGCAAAGAGTTTTCTGGCAATCGACTTTCACTGGCTGTCTCTGATCTAAACCCTACCAGTGGAAAAATCCATATATGTTCAGTTCCTGGCAACCTGTGGAAACTCTCTATGTTCAAACTCCTGGTGTTCTAGAGGTCTGAAACTCCAAGGCTTCCGCGTTTCTCCCATGTCAGGTTTGCGGCGTCCGGAAAGCTAAGTACGGTCCTCCGCCTCCACTGCATCTCGACATTCCGCATTGGACCTCGGCTCCGACGCACAGGATCCGGGGTCCAAACTGAGTCCACCATGTGCCTCCCCGGGAAAAAATGGATTGTTTCCAGCGGAGGTAGACCGTTTTCCATAAATGTCCAACCAACAACCGGCCAAAATGTTGGATGGTTCAGCTCAAAATCAGGGTTCCAAACAATGAAAAGGCCACAGGTGAGTCGTAATCAAAACCCGGTATCAAAATGGTCCACCCAGAACTATATAAAGAATTCAAAAGCCGGCCGCACCCATTTGGGGGTTGTTCAAAAAAAAGGTTCCTGGAAACGGCCCTTTCGCCGGCCTTTCGCGGTCCTTTCGCGGCCCCGTGTTTTCCTTTCGCGGTGACAAACCAGTCCTGAAAAACTTGTTTCCGAGCCCAAACGAGGGTTCTACCATGTATTCGTTATGTTTCAAGTCCTTTCGCGTTCCTTTCGCCGGCCTTTCGCGATGCAGTGTTTTCCTTTCGCGCTAGACCTTCAGAACCTCCCTTACTTAATTTTAAGACTGGCAATTTAGAACGACTCCCATTTACGGCTGGGATTGTCCCTTACTACCCTCCAATTGCCCGGGTTTTGACTGTCTTTTTTAACAAAAACCAACATGAGCGTCCGGAAATTGGGGGGGGTCAGCAGCGGCCGAAATTCCCTGACCTTTGGTTCTACCAAAATGGTAAAGGTTGCTATAGGCCCTGTACCGCATTTAACCAGATAGCATCCGCCAACCCCTTGTCTGCAAGGGCGAGGCGCACGGGAAGGGTGGTGGTCATCACAATCATTCCTGCTGGGGCCGTCTTCATTATCCCGGTTCCTGCTGGGGGCATACATATAGACTATCAGCAAACAAAACATAGACTGTCAATTCCGCTCGTTGTGTAACAAATCTATATCCGGCGCGGCTTGCAACGCATCATGGATATCATCATCGTCTGCTTGCGCCACTTGCAATGCCAAGAATGCTATGACAACAGTTTTCACCGGAGTCATTGTTATCATAATTATCATCATCATTGTGGTTATCATCATCGTCTGCTTGCGCCACCTGCAATGCCAGGGGTGTAAGGTAAATAGTTATCACCGGAGTCATTGTTATCATTATCATCATTATCATCATCATCATCATCATCCTAGTTGTCATCAGTGACTGCTTGCGATTCTCATTGTCCGTCAGTCATGAGGATGATGATGACGAGAAATGATCACTTGCATTGCAAGTCGGGTCTGACATGCCAATTGAAATGTGCATATAAGAAAGATAGGAACGGCGTGGCTATCATCATCGTCTGCTTGCACAACTTGCAATGCCAGGGAGGCGATGATGATAGTTGTCACCGGAGTTGTCATAATTGTCATCATCATCCTTGTTATCATCAGTGTCTGCTTGCGCCACTTGCAATGCAAGGGATGCTATGACGACAGTTATCATCATGTCCACTTACGCCACTTGCAATGCAACGTATGCCACGATGATAGTTATCATCATCATCATCACCATCATCATCATCCTGGTTAGCATCATCGTTTGCTTACGCCACTTGCAATGCAAGGGATGCTATGATGATCCGGAGTCATTGCTATCATAATTATCATTGTCATCGCAAACGATGAGAACCGCATGATGATGATAATGATGATGACGACAACTTTGATGATTACTATCATCGGCGCAAGCAAACGCTGATGACAACCAGGATGATGATGATGATGATGATGATGATAATGATGATGAGGATGGCTGGTGATGATGATGATGACGATGAATCATCATGACGATGACCGTGATGATAACTTATCATAGTTATCATCATCATTATCATCATCATCATCATCATCGTGGTTATCATCAGCGTCTCCAGCGTCTTGTTGCGCCACTTGCAATGCAAAAAAATGCTATGATGATAGTTATCATTATCATCATTAGCCTAGTCAGTCATCATCGCCTCTTTCTTATATTTCTTATATTTCTTACAATGCATACATATTTTTAGTGCCACCTTGGACCCGACTTGCAATGCAAGGGCTGCTATGATGATAGTCATCATCAAAGTTGTCGTCATCATTGTGGTTATCATCATCGTCCGCTGCCGAACAATTCGAGAAGCGATTTGCTCACACCTAAAACCAGTCGAGTTTGTTCTTCAATTCCACATGGGTTGTACCAACACAAGAGAGGAGTTGGCGACACACGGCGGCAGCCCTTAGATAACTGTCTGTTTCGTTTAGAAGTTCCATCCCTCAGAAGGGGTAAACGGCCCAAGTCATACTATTTCACTGGTCCAATGAAGGGTCGAACCCCAACTCGCCCGGTATCTACTTCTTTTTGCGGGTGGGCATAACCGCCCTTGCAGGATCAAAGATGCAATCCCCATCTGCACCGTGTGAATTATACCAACGTGAGGGTGATGCCAAAGATCCTTCAGGGGTTCCCACACAACATCTACAGGACATGCTACAGAACCCCATCTGTCTTTTGGTGGATGCAATGGGCTATTTTCTTGTAGACTGTAATTGGCTTTTGCGATCTTGAGCTGGGCCAGACTTCGACCCTGCAACATGCAAAACTGTTGCTTGTTCCAAGGGAGACTCACGGAAGAAAAAAACACTACTATGTGAACAAGTACTTCCGTGAAAAATTATTTGTGAAGCAGTAAGCCACGGCAGTTGTGGTTGGGGCGACTTAAGAACGAACAAACCACTATTGTTTCAACATGTCCGTTTTGATTTCCGTTAGCGGGGCGAGGGTCGGGTTGCTCAAATAGCCTTTGTATAACCCTGCAGATTGCCCCTTGAACGTTGGCTTCGGTGTTCCTTCACTGGACCTTTGTGCCTTTTCGGGAGCATTGCCACCCCCCCTTCCCCCGTCACCACCGGGGTTCAAAGAAACTTCACACCCTTCAGCGGTTTTGGGATTGCCTTTCCAACAGATTTTAGCATCGAGGCATCCGATTGGCAACAACACCTATCACAGCCGTCTGGCAATGTCAGGAGGGCGCAAAACGCCCACGCATGGGAATGACTTCTGCCCCGCAAGCCTAGCATTCAACTGAACCTTCCCACGTGCCATAAACAAAACTGAAGGATCTGGCTCACTTCCTGAATAGACCGGCAAAACAAATCCAAGCTTTCCTTTCTACCAAATCCAAAACGGTCCATGAACGCAGAGAGTGAGATGCTTCTCTTCCATTTGGCTAAGACCCCTGGAAAGAATAGAAATATGTCCAGTAGTGACAGATTCCCTTTTAAAAAAAATGTCCAGTAGTGACAGATTCCCTTTAAATCCAACAGGGGAAAATAAAAAATGATCATTTCAGCCAATGGAAGTTCTGGTTCTGCATGTCTGACCTCTCCGATTCGTTTCTCCGCCGATGGGCCGGAAGAGCTGCCCGAGCCCCGGCCAGGGTTGGCTCTCATCCGTGGGCGGGAGCTCCTGAAGGGGACGCGACCAGATCCTCGTTTTCGTGGAATGGGCCAGTTTTTGTTGGAGTTGGTATCCTTTTTGGTGTGGTTTCAAAAGGGCAACCAAAAGAAACGCCGAAAGGAAAGTCCACTTTGTTGTTCCTTCTTGGGATTTCGAAAGGAAGCCGAAAGGAAAATCGTGATCTCCAGAGAAAGCCCAATGCACACATCTCTTTTCCTTGGCTTCCCACAAATATCATAAGTGCGGTCGGTTCAAATCCGGCGCTAGGCTTGGCGAGCACCTCCCGAACCTTGAGGCGTGCTCGCTGAACGGCATTGCCCAAGGGTCTAGGTACAGCTGGCTGAGTATAGAACCCCGAAAACGATTGTGGCCCTTGAGTTC